ATTTTTTCAGTCAAATAGGATAGTAGATGAACCATTGATGTCTAAAACAAAATAAATTTGTTAATTAAATTTCTAAATAAATGTATTAACAACTTTCTATCAATATATTATCGAATGCCAAATTTTATAACCTAGAGAAAATGTACTCGATAGATGCCATATTGCAAGTAAAAGTCTAGAATTATTGTGATTATCGACTTCAAAAACAAATCTGGACTTCAAACGACCAAACGTACACAGCAAAAAATTCAGAAACGAGTTTGGAATTGCCAAGACCATACAGTAGTTCAAGGAAAAGGTTGTAATTACTCTTGGAGGGCTTAAAACTTTAAGATAATGATAAAAATTATTTTGGCCGTATTGCAAATCGAAAGAGAAATTTGAGATTACACTAACAAGTTGGCAGAATTCGAGAAATTGCGTTAGATGCAAGCAAGTCTCGAATTGCTCCTGTTAGACTTCCGACTAAAAAAGCTAATTTGGATTTACAAGGACCAAACACTGTACAGCAAAAAATTCAGAAACGAGTCTGAAGTTGCCAAGACCATACAGTATAATCCAAGAAAAAGGTTGTAATTACCCTTGGATTTTGGTCGTATCTCAAATCGAAAGAGAAATTTGAGATTACACTAACAAGTTGGCAGAATTCAAGAAATTGTCTCAAATTGCACTGAATGGATGCGTTATTGCAAGCAAAAGTTTCGAATTGCTCCGATTAGACTAAAAAAGCTAATCTGGACCTACAAGGACCAAACACCAAAAAAAGTTTGAAATTGGTTCAGCCCAAGTCTAAACATCACAAACATTTCAGAAATTAAGTTAATCGAATTCAAAACTGTGAGAAAAGGTTGGTAAATATACTGACAGGATTCTAGATTGCATGAAGAAGTTTGCCATGATACTGGAAAAACATAAAACTATTACCAAATGTTAGGAACTATTCTGGACGAGTCTAAATTTCAAGAAAATATCAGAAATTGCACTGAATTAATTCCATGCTGTAAACAAAAGTCTGGTTTTGCTCTGGTTAGACTTCAAAACGTTCATAAAGAGTGCAAAACTCTTCCCCATAAAATGATATGGTACTTGATATTTGAAGATCCCGACTGTATGTAAACAACATTTCTATGATATTTATTTTTGGTTATGATACTGGAAAAACATAAAACTATTACCAAATATTAGGAACTATTCTGAATTTCAAGAAAATATCAGAAATTGCACTAAATTGATGCCATGCTGTAAACAAAAGTCTGAAATTGCTCTGGTTAGATCCCATAACGTGCTTGAAGAGTACTAAACTCTTCTCTATAAAATGTTATGATACTTGATGTTTGAAGATCCCGACTGCATGTAAGCAACATTTCCATGATATTTATTTTTGGTTATGATACGGGAAAAACATAAAATTATTATCAAATGTCGGGGACTATTCTGGGCGAGTCTAAATTTCAAAAAAATATCAGAAATTGCACTCAATTGATGCCATGCTGTAAACAAATGTCTGGAATTGCTCTGGTTAGACTCCAAAACGTTCTTAAAAAGTGCAAAACTCTTCCCCATAAAATGTTATGGTACTTGATACTCGAAAATCTCGACTGCATATAAGTAACATTTCCATGATATTTATTTTTGGTTATGATACTGGAAAAACAAAACTATTATCAACTGTCAGGAACTATTTTGAACGAGTCTAAATTTGAAGAAAATATCAGAAATCGCACTGAATTGATGTCATGCTGTAAACAAAAGTCTGGAATTGCTCTGGTTCTTAAAGAGTGCAAAACTCATCCCCATAAAATGATGTGATACTTGACATTTGAAGATTCCGAATGCGTATAAGCAACATTTCCATGATATTTATTTTTGATTATGATACTGGAAAAACATAAACCTATTACTAAATTTTCAAGAACTATTCTGGACGAGTCTAAATTTTCAGAAAATATCAGAAATTGCATTAAATTGATGCCATGCTGTAAATAAAAGTCTGGAATTGCTCTGCTTGGACTCCGAAACGTTCTTAAAGAGTGCAAAACATGAAATGTTATGGTTTTAAGGTTATGGTTATGGTTTTTAATATATAATAAAAATATAACGTAAAAATTAAAAAAACTCTTTCTCAGTTTTTTAATAAATATACTTAGGACCGGTTTCGACAAATACTTATCATCATCAGCTAAATCTACAAGCGAAATTATAATTAAAAGTATATAGAATTAAATAAAATAGATACAAAAACAAATACACTTACAGTTAAAAAATAATAAAAGTCATAATATAAAATGATTTAAAAACTAAAACAACGGAAAATAAAGATGTAAAGTGGACGACACTGAACGACACTACAGGTTAAAATGGAGTAATCACATAAGAATAAAACAAGTTTCACAGATATGTTAAAAACTAGAATTTTAAATATGAGTATATAGACATATAGATTATATTATAAACAAACTTAATCCTTATTCTAACAATATCAAAAAATGGATTAGATATGTGGAAGATCTTATAGCAATGTTAAAATATATAAACAATATTCATGAGAAGTTGAAATACACTTTAGAAATTGAAATAGATAGAAAAATCAATTTTCTTGACTTAACTATATATAGAAATTACCTAGACCTAAATTTTGACATATATGTATAGGAAATCAACAAATTTGAACACTATTGTTCCATATAACTCTTACCATCCTAACAATCATAAACTTTCCGTATTCCAATCCTACATCTACAGAATGCTAAGATATTCTATTAATACAACTTCTATACGAAACGAATTTAATTTCATAAATAAACTAGCCATACAAAATAACTATACCCCAAATATAATTAACAAAATACTATATAATGTTATAATAAAATTAGACCCATTGTTCACTATGGATACTAATGAACACATCACATTTCGTTCTTTACCCTATAATGACATACATTATAAAATTAAACGTATTCTTAAACAAAATAATATCAATATTGGTTTTAAAAACAACTACAAACTTATAGATATATTGTCAAACTTCAAAAGCAAAGAACATATGTTAAATAAAAATGGTGTATATTCTATTAAATGTAAAGAATGTGATGCTTTATACATCGGTCAAACAGATAGAAAACTCGCAAAAAGAATTAACTATCATAAAAATACTTCCTCATAAAATGTTTACCAACATAAAATGGAATTTAATCGTAACATCGATTATAATAATGTATCTCTCATACACAACTGTAAGAAGGGTAAAAAATTAGACTTATTAGAACAACTTGAGATAGACAAACACAAACATAAAAATCAAAAATTAATAAACATTTATAAACCTTTATACTCATATTTAAAATTCTAGTTTTTAACATATCTGTGAAACTTGTTTTATTCTTATGTGATTACTCCATTTTAACTTGTAGTGTCGTTCAGTGTCGTCCACTTTACATCTTTATTTTTTACTGTAAGTTTATTTATTTTTTTATCTATTTTATTTAATTCTATATACTTTTAATTATAATTTCGCTTGTAGATTTAGCTGATGATGATAAGTATTTGTCGAAACCGGTCTTAAGTATATTTATTAAAAACTGAGAGAGATTTTTACCTTATTTTAAATCATACACCTTAGTGCTTATGGATTTATTAGAAAATCATGATATTCATTTTTGACTGATCTGGTTGTTAGAAATATAACATTGAATGTACAACTTACTATCAAAATAATCCAATTAACATAAATCCAAAACATTCCTAAATAAGCCCATTTAAAAAAATAAATTTGTCGAAATTCTTCGCAAAGAAAATACAAAATAAATAAACTGTACACAATCATGCAACCATCGGCTAATCTTTGTAGTTTGTTGGTGTATTCTTTTTCACATTGAAATGTAGTTATACTCGCTGTTGGTATTAATTGACCCGTTGGTGGAGTTTCAAAAATTAACCTGCACACACAAAATAATTTATAATATCTAACATAAAGAAATATGAATTTTTACTTAACAACTGTAAATAGATCAACGTGTTGATTATAAAATTGGACATCAAAAAAAATCGCCCTCGTTTCTGGTCTATACCAAGAGGAAGCTCTTAAAAGTTCAATATTTTCTTTGAATTGTTCCCGAGAAATCCCCATCCGTTTTTGATAACCTCCAGCTTCGTAAAAAGCGAGTTTTCCCCAATAAGAAATCGCTTGCGTTCCCACCATTTTCGTTTCGTTTTTAATTTTATATTGTGGTCGATATTTATATCTAAAACAACAAATTTATTAAAAAAAAATTAATATAATAAAAAAAATAAAATGTTCTTACGCAAACTCTTTAGAGTTTAAATTTTCCTTGCTTTTGGTCCAATCAGAATAATCAAGATAACAAAGTTTAAAATATTCAGAAAAAATTTGATGGCAAGAACTATTTTTAGCAGTTACTTGACGCAATGTTGGTTGCCCCAAAATTTTATTATAATACAAAAGACCTCTGTCCGTTTGATTATTTGCCGAGGGAAATTCTAACGAAGAAAATGAACCGATAAAGATTTTTTTCACAACCAATTCATCGAGATAATCATAGAAATGATTAATTGTGGTGATATCGTTAAAACGAATGAATTTATTTGAATCCGTTTTGAAATCTTCCTGAATTAATTGCGATCTTACAGCGTGCGTTAAATAATACGACATAAAATCGAGTTTTGCGAAAGCAGCTGAAATTAAAAGTTTAAAATTTAATTGAAAAAAGGTTAAAAGATCGAGTTAAACTTACCGAAAGAGACACAAAAAAAGAAAATCAAATAAAAAATAAATTCTCGACTTAAAACAAGGAGATAATATTCGCGATCGAATAATTCCGCAATCGCTGGGGTTACCCAAAAAACTAAAACAATTCGGATTAATTTTTAATAAAAATATGATGATGACTCACTTTTTTGGGGAATTTTTCTTTGCCCAGGTTGCATATTTGAAAAAGATGGGCGAATTGAAGGTTCACCCATTTAAAAAATAATAAATTAACTTAATAAAAATAATTTTAATTTGACGTTTTTGTTGATTTATACGTTCCTAGGTTACTTCTAAAATCATTTGCTTCGCACATCAGAAAGTGCGTTCATTTTCTTCAATAACAACTCGATTTTCTTCGCTATTGAAGTAATGTAGTGCTCCATCTCATCTAATTTTTGTTGTTGTCTACGAAATTAATTAAAATTATTAATGTAACAAAAATCTTGATATAATGGATTAACATGGGGAAGGGAGTGTCCGTTATAGTCAAAAGTCCATTATATGATTTGCGAACGATAGAATCTAAAATACTGCTAATAGAAGCCTACATAGTATTTACAGAAGACTATACTTCCAACATAAAACTAGGAAGTGCTTACAGAAGTCAAGATACTACATGAAAAATATTAGATTTGGCTTGAACACTTTTTGACGATTGATAAAGACCTAATACTGCTTGCAGAAAACTATATATTACTTAAACAGGACCAGATTCTCATTGTACAAGACTAAATACTGCTAATAGAAGCCTACATAGTACTTAGAGAAGACTGGATAGTGCAAATAGAGGACTAGCTAGTGTTTGCAGAACACTAAACACTACTTGAAAAAGACTAGATATTGCTTGAAGACTATACACTTTTTAACGCTTGATGAAGACCTATAAAACTGCTTGCAAAATACTATCTGCCGCTTATACAAGACCAGATCTTCATTGCAAGATACTAAATACTTCTCGAAGAAGACTAAATACTCTACGCAAAAGACTGCATTCCTATTACAAAAGGCAAAATTGTGCTTGAAGAAGACTTGATGTTTCCAAAAGACTGCTAATAGAATAAACAGGGCTCACAGAAGACTATATACTGCAAATAGAAGATTAGCTTTGAATAAATATTGCTTTGGAAGACGAAATATTGCTTGAGAACTATACACTCTCTAACCAAGTTAAATATCCATTATAAGACACTAATTACAGATAAAAAACAGGATAATACTTTACAAACGCTAGATATTGTTATAAGAAGACTGCACACTGTTTGATGGTTGACAAAGGCTACATGTTGCTTGTTGAAAACTATATACTGCTTCCACAAGATGAGATTTTTATTGCAGAAAACTAAATGCTGTTTGAATAATACTATACACGGTGTCTCCTCGTTGAGTTGTATAACTTCGTAGGGTTATTCCTTGCATCAAAATTACCAAAAAACTTCCAGTCAACATACATAGGTCCAATTCTCAACCATGAGATATGAGATAACTTAATTTTTAAAAAATAATAGTTTTTATAAAAATTTTGCAAAATGTTGTCATCGATAACTTTCAAAATTCGCTATAAAATTAATTTCTTGAAGGATCCTTGTGAAAATATCGCCAATTTTTAATTAAAGTATCCTCTTTTTAATGCAACAAGCCGTTTTGAAAAATCGCTTTTAGTTTTTGAGAAATAAATTTTTGAAATGATCGATAATTTTTTCGAATTTTGCAATTTTCGCCGATTAAGTTTTAAAAATTTCTATAAAATCCATTTCTTGGAATATGAGTTTAAAAACTTCCCAAAGTGTTAATAAAAGTGCCCTCTTTCCAATGAACCAACAGTTTCTGAAAAATAACTGTTACTTTTTGAGAAAACAATATTTAAAGTTTTGATAAAATTTTCAATGTTGCAATTTTCAACGATAACTTTCAAAATTCGCTATAAAATTAATTTCTTGAAGGATCCTTGTGGTAATATCACCAATCATTAATTAAAGTAACCTCTTTTTAATGCAAAAAGCCGTTTTGAAAAATCACTTTTAGTTCTTGAGAAATAAATTTTTGAAATAATCGACAATTTTTTTTAATTTTGCAATTTTCGCCGATTAAGCTTTAAAAATTCGTATAAAATCCATTTCTTGGAATATGAGTATGAAAATTTCCCAAAGTATTAATAAAAGTGTCCTCTTTCCAATGAATCAACACATTTTGAAAAATATCTTTTAGTTTTCGAGAAAACAATATTTAAAGTTTTAATAAAATTTTCGATGTTGCAATTTTCATCGATAACTTTCAAAATTCGCTATAAAATTAATTTCTTGAAGGATCCTAGTGGAAATATCACCAATTATTAATTATAGTATCCTCTTTTTAATGCAAAAAGTCGTTTTAAAAAGTTACTATTGGTTCTTGAGAAATAAATTTTTGAAATGATCGACAATTTATTCGAATTTTGCAATTTTCGCTGATTAAGCTTTAAAAATTCGTATAAAATCCATTTCTTGGAATATCAGTATGAAGCTTTCCCATAGTGTTAATAAAAGTGTCCTCTTTCCAATGAACCAACACGTTTTGAAAAATAACTTTTAGTTTTTCAGAAAACAATATTTGAAGTTTTGATAATATTTTCGATGTTTCAATTTTCATCGATAACTTTAAAAATTCGCTATAAAATTAATTTCTTGAAGGATCCTTGTGGAACTACCACTAATTATTAATTAAAGTATCCTCTTTTTAATGCAACAAGCCGTTTTGAAAAATCACTTTTAGTTCTTGAGATATAAATTTTTGAAATAATCGACAACATTCGAATTTTGCAATTTTTGCCGATTAAGCTTTAAAAATTCGTATAAAATCCATTTCTTGGAATATGAGTAAGAAAATTTCCCAAAGTATTAATAAAAGTGTCCTCTTTCCAATGAACCAACCCGTTGTGAAAAATAACTTTTAGTTTTTGAGAAAACAATATTTGAAGTTTTGAAAAAATTTTTGATGTTCCAATTTTCATCGATAACTTGCAAAATTCGCTATAAAATTAATTCCTTGAAGGATCGTTGTGGAAATATCACTAATTATTAATTAAAGTATCTCCTTTTTAATGCAAAAAGCCGTTTTGAAAAATCACGTTTAGTTCTTGTGAAATAAATTTTTGAAATAATCGACTATTTTTGCGAATTGTGCAATTTTTGCCGATTAAGCTTTAAAAATTCATATAAAATCCATTTCTTGGAATATGAGTATGAAAATGTCCCAGAGTGTTAATAAAAGTGTCCTCTTTCCAATGAACCAAGCCGTTTTGAAAAATAACTATTAGTTTTTGAGAAAACAATATTTGAAGTTTTGATAAAATTTTCGATGTTGCAATTTTCATCGATAATTTTCAAAATTCGCTATAAAATTCATTTCTTTAAAGATCCTTGTGAAAATATCACCAATTATTAATTAAAGTGTCCTTTTTTTAATGCAACAAGCCGTTTTGAAAAATCGCTTTTAGTTTTTGAGAAATAAATTTTTGGAATAATCGACAATTCTTTCGATTTTTGTAATTTTCGCTGATTAAATTTTAATAATTCGTATAATCGATTTCTTGGAATATGAGTATGAAAATTTCCGAAAATGTTAATAAAAGTGTCCTCTTTCCAATGAACCAACACGTTTTGAAAAATAACTTTTAGTTTTTGAGAAAACAATATTTGAAGTTTTGATATAATTTTCGATGTTGCAATTTTCATCGATAATTTTCAAAATTCGCTACAAAATTAATTTCTTGAAGGATCCTTGTGGAAATATCACCAATTATTAATTATATTATCTTCTCTTTAATGCAAAGAGGCGTTTTGAAAAATCATTTTTAGTTCTTGAGAAATACATTTTTGAAATAATCGACAATCTTTTCCGAATTTTGCAATTTTCACTAGACCTAGAACTAGAATCATTTTCTAGTTTCTAGTTCTAGATCTAGTATTAATTCTAGTTTTGGTTGAATAAAAACATACAACAATCTAGCACTGAATAACAGCGATAACACCTAAAACTACCATCCTTGATTTATATATCACGATCGTGTAGACAACTCGGGGAAAACCCCGAGTTTATTTATTCCATTCATAAAACAACTTGAAGAATAACCCGAGTAGGATTCTATCTACGAGCGCTAACATTTATATTTAAATATATTGAGATCCGTTATATCGAGGTTTTAGTGTAATTAAAGTAATAAATTAATTATTTACGCTTGAAAATCATTTAATGCCATTAAAGGTGCTCCTGTTGATTTTGAATCTAATCTTGATTCATTCCCTCTTTTGCGACCTAAATTGAAACGATTTTAATTAAAATTAAAAATAAATA